GCAGGCAGTGGGACAGGAAATGGGCTCGAATGGCTTCTCTCATCCCATAGAAAAGCCAGCAAAATATCCTTTGGCGTCATTGTCTTCACGTGCCAGCACACTGAATGACTGGAACAAAAAAAAAGAAGGCATCTTTCCTTCCCTCCCTCCCTCCCGCCCTCCCCTTCGTACTGTTGAGAGGCAACCCGATTGTGAGCGTTTCTCCCGGCTTATAGGCATCCCCACTCTTCATCGCCGTGCCATCAGCCCGTGTGACCTGGGAAAATATACCAGAAAACACGCAGGATCAGAAGCCGTGCAATGGGCGGAGGCGTGCCTCATTTCCTTCCCTCCCCCCCGCCCCATGCCCCTTGTTCTCCCTCCCTACCGTCACAACTTCGTCTTTTCCCAATTCGACCGGTGCGCCCATTATCGATTGCCCGATCTGCACGCGTGGCAGTTCAAGGGAAGAACGTTGAGGATTTTTCTTTCTCAGGCGTGTATGGGAAGTCAGCGTATTAAAGTCGTGTCACTTACCGCTAGAGGCGTCGCACATTTCTTGCCTTCGGTCAAGAGCTTCGGAAAGGCTTCCACCCCCACGAAAAACATGATGCAAGATACTGCTAATACCCTTGAAAAATGTACCACACCCATGATACACGCGCGCCCGGTTTTCTTCGGAAAGCCTGTCTCCTGGGGGCGCAAGGGAGGAAGAGGTCTAAAATTAGAATATCTAAAGCAGTCGGTCCCAGGAGGCTTCCTCAAAATGAAGCATCGGCAGTGGAGATAGCACATGAATGAGAGGTTAGACCATGCTTGAGTGATGTATCTTCCAAATGTTGCACATTCGTCGCACCCCTTTTTGGTAAGGACCGTGCGGATGCCCTGGTTTTTTGAATCATGCTGACGTGAACATCCAAACAACCCCATCGGCAAGATTCGAGCACGTTTGCGAGCAAGAATGGATCGATTCCTGATTTGAGCGCTTCTCAGCGGCCACGGAGTCCAATGCCAGGTCTAGTTGGGGGCTTGGAGACGGTCATGGCCCGCCTCGGCTGCACACGGCGGGACACAGGCCCGCAGAAGGTCAAGGAGTGGGAACGAAAAATGTAAGGGGCATTTATCATCATAGACATCATCCTCCCCGATGATCACAGGGGCGCAATCCATCATACATCGTCATCGTCATCTCGGTGGAGGAGGCGCAATCCATCATACATCGTCACCGTCATCGCCCTGAGAGGGGCGCAATCCATCACGAGATTCCCGTAGTTGCTGGCGAGAGGGATGAAGGCTTTAATGCCAAACATCCCCGCGAGTTCTGCCCATTTCATGACACAACACCGCACAGACGAACGAGACGACCATGTACTTATATTTAGAGGACAATAAACGATTAATTTTCAGTTTGTTGTGACTTATGCCTGCGTTGGAGGGAATCATGACCCTTCTCCCCGCGAAATATGAACGGGAAAGAATCATGGACATTTTAAAGATCTTTTCAAACATCGTACGTCTCCCCTCCCGTGCAGGGGTAAGATGGGCGTGCGTATGCCTATTTAAAACACATTAAATTGTTGAAGGCTGGCAACACTCATGTTTGTCTTGAGTCGCAAGGCACTTGTGTGTAAAACTTTATATTTCTGAGAATTTGCCTCGACGGAATTGACGCCAAAATTTGTCTCTACAGCTGTCGTTGCAACAGAAGTGTTTCAATATGCACGCGCGACAATAACCCCGGCGCTGCCGAGCACGGAGTGTCTGACCTCATCATCAACGAGATAGATATGTGGTTGAAGACGAAAGTTTCTGATTAAGACCATATTGTTATATTGTCGGCCTGCCTGTCGGGATGGATTTACGGACACGGCAGAGCGAATCTGTCCGGTTCCAAACAAGTTCAGCCACTCGGCTTTGTACCATGAGGAGGATGATCACAGGGCCGTAACACATCGAACGAACGACATGCTGTCGTGGATGTGATCTCATCCGTCTCGGAAGCTCGATTACAAGGAGCTTTTTCGACACGGTCGCTCACGCCATATGCTTTCTGCATCGATGTATAGGACCAAAAGTCTGAGAACAGGCGTGTCTCAGAGTAACGCCTTGAGAGCTGCATATTTCCATCAACGGGCCACTTTAAGTGTCCTCGGAGAAAGCCAGCATCATAAAGCCAGCATAGGCACGTGCGCACGCTAAAGACAGCGCATGATCCTGGCAGGCGGAAAAGAAAACCCACGAGTATACACAATAGAGGCCTAATTGACGCCGAAAAATGCCAGCGGGTCCCAGTGTGCGGCGAGAGAGGTCTCCCAGCTCCCCCGTCACCCCCAATTCGACTCAGCCCCCCGGGGCAGACACAGGATGCAATGGGAACGGTTCCATCGACAAAAGTGGAGGGACACGGGACAGGTACGTTCTCAGTGCATTGCTCATGTTCTTATTTACATGACTGAATGGACACAAGGAAACAAAAGAAAGCATGTGTGCGGGATGGGAGAAAGACGGTGATGTGTTGACACGGGAAAGTGATGTGTGTTGTATATATATATAAATCGTGGGAGTATGATGCAGGCGATGAAGCCGATAGCGACAGGGAGGGATATGGAGAAGGGGACGCCACGGGGTGCACCGCATGATGGGACAGGACGGAGACGAGAGCTCCTCTTGTTGTAGCGTTCGAGTTGCAAGCAACCACCTCCCACAACAGCCACTGAGCGGTCGTGGCACTCAGCCTGGACACTCCATTTCCTATCCCCTTCCCCCGGGGCCCTACCTTCTTCTTCCCTTCCTTTCCCCTCGTACTCAGGCAGCACAGAGCGCATCGAAAAGGATGTACCGCGACGGAGACGGTCTCTCGGCGCGAAAGCAACGAGTCCCTCGATGAGTCCCTCTCGTGCTCTACCCCCAAGTCGCCCTGGTAAGACGGGGGAGAGGGAGGGAAGGAGGGAGGGAGGGAGGGAGGG